GGAAAGTCCTCATGGCCCTTGAGACTACAGGTCCTTGAGAGTTCTCAGTATATTGGAGGTATTGGAAGTTCCTGTTGACTCAAGCAGTGTGTCAGTAAAAAGGTCAGGAGTTGGCCTCCATTCTGACAGCAAGCAGTCGATATACTTACATGTTGAGAAATACAAACGTTAAAAATGATGGCTGTAATAATGTCTCATGAGTAAATATTTCGGCAGGTTTAGATCGTCTGGACCTTTGGGAGTGTGTGAGGACCATTTCTGTCTGATGACATGTACCTGTGGATCATAATAATCTGTCACAGGTGAGTTAGAACTGTTTGTTGTCTGACAGACGCGTTCACTGAACCTGCTGTGGTGGTTTATTTTAAAATGGTTCAATCAAACTGCAGTGAGCGAAGTTTTCTAACGTTGGCTTTTTGAATGAAGCACTTACACACAGCAAATACAGCTGTTCACAAATAATCATCAAACAAAACCTCACAGATGAGTCGTCAGATTTCTCAGAGGATATTTGTCTTCATGTCAGTGACTGCAGACAGTTTCATATTTGTTGCTTTGAATCACTGAATCTTTGTAATAAATGAAGACATGATGAAACATGTCCTCTGTCTCCACAGGAGGAGGAGGAGGAGGAGGAGGAGAAGGAGGAGGAGGTGAAACGCTGCCCCTGTTGTTTCGGAGCACGATGGCACCACACACACAGCAGACAGGCCTGTGTGTGTGTGTGTGTGTGTGTGTGTGTGTAGGAGGCGATGGGGGTGTGTGACTGCGTCGTCATGACGTCGGGGTTTCTCCCAAAAGAAGACCCCCCCCAGGATCCGCCCCCACATGTCGTCATCATGAAGCCCCGCCCCTCCACCCCCACAGTTTCAGGTGAGGAGGAGAAGAAGACGTAGAAGGAGGAGGACGAGGATGAAGAGGATGATGAGGATGATGAGGAGGAGGTCTGTGTTCAGTTTTCATCCTGAATGTTTCTGACTGAATTCAGACAAACAGCTGATCTGAACCAAATACGACAGAAATATATAAATACACTGATGTAAAGTCTCGTCCATCTCATCATCAAGAGTCAACCACACTTTATACTTAAAACCCAAATATCTATTATCTATTATTATAATTATTATTATCATTATAATTACAATTATTATTATAATTATAATAATAATAATAATTGTTGTTTAAGTGTCAATGAGTTTTAAATCCACACTGAGATGATTTCCTGCTGAATCTTTTATTTCTCACTAAGCTGAGACTCTTCGAACTGTTTGTCGAACACGATTCTTCACGGGCACAATTGTTATTAATTTATGACATCATCATCTTTTTTTCCCCAGACAGCTGATTGGCTGATGAACTGTTTGATGGATAGGTTTGACGTCATCTGATGATGTCATCAGTCTGTCTATAAAAAGAAGAAGTCATGAGCTCAAACTGATGTTAGGACGGTTTTTATTAACGTTAGAATCATTTATAACGACAGGTTTGTAACGACGGTGGAGGAGCCTCCTCAGTTTCTCCTGATGTTTATCACAGTTTTTATTTTGGGAGGTTTTCAGCTGTCGGGGTCCAAGTACGTCACAATACTTGACTATGTCGATAACGTACATCACGATATATTGTGATTCAATACTTTTTCTCAGCTGTACATTGTGTCCCCTAAAGTTTCTCACTTCACTCATTTTGATTGCAGCACGATCTTTGTGGTGAACCAGGAGAATAAATAGATTTAATTATTTCAGTAGGACACCAAAAGTTTGATTTATACTTTAATAATTTATATAATAATAAAAAAACTAACACTTGCTCTCAGTGTATCGATACAATACTGCTGCACAAAATATCGCAATACTGCCCTGTGTTCATTTTCCCCCACCTTTGTTCCAAGGACAGAGGACCTGAGGACAGAGGACCTGAGGACAGAGGACCTGAGGACAGAGGGGTGTTGTATGCTGTAAAGTTTGTGATTTAGGGTTTTAAAGATAAAATCAAATCGAACTGAAATAAAGGAGCTGTAGGTGTTTATTAATGTTCATTAATGTTTATTAATGTTTATTAATGTTTATTAATGTTCATTAATGTTTATTAATGTTTATTAATGTTTATTAATGTGGTTATTAACAGTTATAACTCAGTGATCACTGATAATTAATGATAATTAAACAGATATGATATAAAACATTTCTCTCTCTGCTCATAGCTGCATTATATTATTACACATTTATTCCATGGTCTGATTAATGATGATGAAATTAAACATCTTAAACAACTTCCGGTTATTGATTATTAATAATTGATTTTTTTTTATCATCATCAGTTTGAGTTAATAAAGTGATTTACTGCATTGATCACATGATGACCGGATGTTCATGATGCAGACAGAGAAGAAGAGGAGACTCTCAGCTGAACGCTGCTGTACTACAGTCTGTCTGTCTGTCTGTCTGTCTGTCTGTCTGCAGAGACACAGACAGACAGAAACTGCGTCATGCTGCGCAGATAGCGGGTCTCCCCTCTGCTTCCTGCATGGAGGCTGCTGATCTTCCTCCCACTGACTCACACAACATGTCACATCATCATCATCATCATCACCATCATCACCATCATCACCATCATCACGTCTCTCAGATGCAGTACTAAATGATGAGTTACCTTGAGGCTCCTGCGGATCGGCCTCTCGATGAAGGCGAGCTCCTGCAGCTCCTCCAGAGGTCCGTACAGCAGGCTGGACTGGTTCACAGTCATCCTGCTGCTGGAGAACATCTGCCCACTGGAAGTGTCCCAGTATCACACTGGTCGTTAGTGGGAGAGCAGGCGGAGGATCTCAGTACCAACCATCCCCGATGAGAGGAGGGGAGAGGGGAGGGGGACTGTCACTAACCGTTTCCAAGGAGATGCCTGCCCCAGCTGAACGTCACGCCAGACTCCGTTCACAATTATAAAGATATAAAAAATCTGGGCTCATCTGCAGATGTGCCGATGTGTCAGAGACTCACAGTGAACAGTTCACACACCAACACCGTCCAGTCTTCTGTTCGGCGCACACTGCGTCCTCCCAGCTGCGACTGTTTGAGCCAAATCTGCACTTTTCTAAAATCATCTGTTGAGGAGAGAAGCCCGAGAGCAGGGAGCAGATCCGGCAGCAGCCGCTGTCAGTGACCGTCACATGAACCCTTCAATCGGCCCAAACCCGCTGTCTCTCCCACGCGGAGGAAACCTCACACCAGACTGCGTTTAAAAAATGAGCGTTTTAAGGTTTGAGCCTTCGCAGTGAAGCCGAGAGCTGCTGAGGCTTCAAACCGAACACCAGCATCCATCTCTGAGACACGTTTACATTTCGGCGGATCTTCAGTTCATCACTCATTTATATAAAACCTGGAGCGTTCACACCTGCTCCTCCTGCTCTGTGCTGTGCGGAGGAAACGTCACGCCAGATTCGGTTCAAAATTCGCATTACACATTTTCTTTTCTATTTAATAAGAGTCAGAATCCAGGACCCCTCAAACATTACACCTCTAACACATCCACACGGTGTCTTCTTCACTTCGGCGCTCACACAGCACCGAGACAATCAGATCTTTCTGTCAAATCCAGACCGACTACACCCGTTTCACCGTCAGGTCCTGTCCGGTTGGAGCGTCACGCCGGACTGCGTTAAATGTTGAGCGCTATGATGCGTCTGAGCTCAGCTGTGAACCTGCGACACGGAACAGCTCCAGAAAATGAGATGTTTCAGAGCATCCTGTCTCGGCCTCCTCTCGCTCCACCAGCCTCGAGTCATTCATTCCAATGGCGCTGTTTCTGAACCCGGGTCCGTCCGGTCGCTCCCACACGGAGGGCGGAACCGTCTCCGTTACCGAGCAGAGAGGACCTGACACAAGTTGAGAGCTGATGTGGATCCGGCCTCCTGCAGTGGGTCTTGGTCTGGACGGAGTGTGAATCTGTTCACTTGTCACAGATGTGAATGAAGTCTGGTTCATATCACACCGACCCGCTGCTGATGGAGCCAAAGCCCGGCTCACCGGACCGGAACCGGACTGACACCGGACCAGAACCGGGTGATCGGCAGCAGGGCGGGCTAGCTGGAGGCTAACGCCCTGCACTGCAGCAGCTAAACTGGTTTCCATGGAAACGGCTGACTGTTAGTGACCAGACTCATTCACAAAGTCCGGTTTATACACAGAACACACACATCAGGGTCTGAGACACATCAGGGTCTGAGACACAACAGGGTCTGAGACACATCAGGGTCTGAGACACATCAGGGTCTGAGACACAACAGGGTCTGAGACACATCAGGGTCTGAGACACATCAGGGTCTGTCTTATACATGTTCACATCAACAACATTAATATTGACACATGTCATTAATATAAATGTAAATCACAGAGAGAGGTGTAGCTGTACATTTACAGTTTTACATTTACAGTTTTATGATTTACCGTGTGTCTGTGAGCAGCAGGATCATCAGGACTGTAAACAGAACCTGACCTAGTGAGAACTACAGAGGACCCAGTACAGAACCCTGGGGTTCCCCACAGACACGATGGAGCAACATGCTCTTTAATTTCTCTCATAGAAGTCAGCTCCAGGTGCGCAAAACATTCTTAACCATCCAGACCTGCTCTGACCCAGCTGTGCTGAACGATCACCAGTCACCTGTTAGCACAGGTAACGCCTAAACACCATATCAGGACAGGTGTGGTGCCGTGTGCAAAGACTCTGACACATGAACCAAAGAACTGGAGAGATGAGACCAAAAACAGGCTGTAAGAAGAAGAAGTTCAGCAGTAGTGAAAAGTATGTTAAATAAACTTAAACCAAGTAAAATGATTTTCCATCAGTCCTGTTTTTACAGGAAAATCAAAAACACATAAACAATAAAACATCCATGAGGCTGTAAATGTGTCTCAGCAGGGGTGGAGGAAGAACTCAGATCCTTTACTGCAGCAAAGAAAGTCTTAGATCAGAATCAGGACAAATCCTGGATACAAATGAAAAGAAGAAGATCTGTTGGAATATTGTTTCTCACATGGAGCCAAATGTGTCATCAGGACTGTCTGTCCCTGTCTCTGTGTCCCCTACACTCACTGCTCAGACCTGCTGTCCTCCAGCCGTCCACTAGATGTCCTCAGACTCTCAGTCCAGGTCACCTGACGTCCTCTCCCACCTGCACACCTGTCCTGACTCCCTTCATCAGGTCTGAACTTCACAACCTTTCCCTCTCAGTCTTTGTTAGACGTCCTCATGTTCTTCTTCTCTCTGAGTTTGATTAGTGTCTGATCTGTCTCTGTCACCTGTTCTCCAGTCACCTGTTGTGGACTCACCTGGATGTTGACCTGTTGTTTATCACCTGTCAGCCTCGTCACTCTGGAAGCTTCTGAACCTCCAGTTTGTCTGCAACACTCTGTCTGTTTGTGGGTAAGATTAATGAATCATTATCATTATCATGATGACGTCTGACAGTGCTGAGAGCTGCTCTGAGAGACACCAGTTTAGGGACTGTTTGTTATTTATGAGGAGGAGGGGCAAAAAGGGGGAGGCATATCAAATAATTCTTAAAGCACTGGGGAGGGACTGAAGCTTTTTATTGTGTCTGTGGGACATACACATTTAAATGGTTGTATTTTGAATTTATTTTACCACAGAATTTTACAGAAAACAAACCTTCCTGACCTGCAGAAAGTTTTGTCCTCAGACACATCATGTGTGACGAAAGCTTTCATTTAACTTTCAAACATCAAAGAGTGATGTACAGCAGGGCGTTACTTTCACTGAATGATAAAAAAATGACACCTTATCTCGTAATTACCACAAAGATCAATGCATTCATAAATGAGAAATCCACTGAAATCACAACTTTGAAATGTGCAGATTTAAGGTGATCATCACTGACAATGATGCAAAGACATTTGCCAAGGGCTCCCCCACAAACTACCAGCTGTTAACGTTGTGACATGATGTCACAGAATCATGACATGTAATTTGATGTCAATATATTCATAAATCAGTCACAGGTTCATTGGACAGACTTTCATGTCATTGTGCTCTTTACTGCGTTGTCATTTCTGATTATTTCGTATTGACTAAAACTGTGAGGTATCTGCCTGAATGAGTTTCCAACATCTCCAAAAAGTCGAGGCTTTGATTTGGAGCTATTAAAGATAACAGCCATGAAAAACATCCTCATTTTAAGGAACATTAATATTTCCACACGTCTCACACCGAGCAGGAAGTGACAGCAGATTAAATGTGGCAGCGCCGTCAACGATGATGAGATTCTGATCTCATGATTACAGATCTTATCTTGTACTTATGAGGAGAGGGTCAAAACAAAAAGTCACGTAACAGAACAAATCTACTTTGTAAATGTACATGTGATATGAAATTATGACAAAACACAATTAAAAAAATCACATGCTCGCAAAATATGACACTTAGGGCCGAATTCACAAAGAATGAACTGCGGCCGCTGATAGCACCTTGAATTGCACTTCACTTGCACCCGCAGTTTGCTCCATCTTAACGTCCTATTCACAAAGGATATTGCGCTAATGATATACCAGCGCAAACACGCCCACAAAGTTTGGCAGCTGAGTGCAGTTTGCCCCTGATTTGCCCCTGATTGCAATTAGCCACATGGCAAAGTATAAATGCCGGCTTTGCACCAAGAACACTGTGGCAGAACAATGGCAGACTTTGTCTGGCAAAGTACTGAATACTGTATCCCCTCATGTAGTGATGTCTGCTGGTGAGTCAGTCTAACAGTGTCGGATGGGTTGAGGCTGTGGATTTGACCCAGTTTGACCACTTTATCACTATTCCCTCTCACTTGTAGCTGTTTTTTCGTTATCTTTTGAATTTAATATGAATTATGGAACCGTTTTTGTTCACGTTTGTTTCCCCCGTTTCGTAAAATAAATTATTGAAAGTTGCTTTTGAAGTGCGTGACAGAAGTGCGTTTTGAGAACGACCGCAGACTGTCACCTGTTCAACGCATCAGTATCTTCGGATGCCATTAAAGTAATAATGATTATAATAATAATGTCAAAATATTATTTACAGACTGATTTAACAGACGATCACTGCTGCCACGATCACTGGAAAGTCTGGGCGAGAGGCTTCCACAGAGGAGCGCCCAGTTTGCACCAGCTTTCTAAAGACGTTATTCACTTCACTCAAACTGCGTGTGGCTATTAGCGCTGGTGTTAGTGAATTAGACGTTGTTTATCAGTGAGGCTCATTTGCATAGAAAGGGGCAATTGTTGCGCCAAATATATGCATATTACCTCATTTAAATACGTGCAAATGACACCGGAGCACCGAGACGCAATCTGCTTGGCAGCGCAGTTAGTGGAGCATTTCACCCTCTGCGCGTGCTTTGTGAATTAGACGGTATCTGTTTGCTCCATTTTTACCGGTTTAGCAGCCGCAAAAGCCACGCAATCCTTTTGTGAATTCGGCCCTCAGTGTCCATGTGTTCACAGGTCATCGACCAAAAAATGGATAGATAAAATACTCCCCAGCTGAAGAGAAAGTTCAGACTGTCAGCTGAACCGAACAGAGTGACTCAGTCAGTCAGGTAACTTCTAAAATCACACGCAGCAACTGATTGTGATTAGAGGAGGTTTAATTACAGCAGAGAAGTTGTGGTTAAATAAAAAGATAAATAAAATAATTTTCCTTGTATGAGCCAAGAGTGCAGTTTCAGTTGTTAACGACACAAAAGATGTTGATGAAATAATTAAAGTACTGGAATCACACAGTTTAACTCCTGGTTTATTTAGATGTAGTTCACTGCTGAAATCATTCTGAATTAAAGTCTTTCCAGGTAGTTTACATGAGAAATATTCATTCTGAATGAGGGTTTACACGGAGATCAGTTTAATCGCCTTTTAATCACGTTTATTCGGGTCTGCGCAAAGTTTGGGGCAGGGAAGGTTTCTGATTGGATAGGGGGCGGGGCGGATGTTACGTGTTTACGTTTACCGGAAGAAAACACTGTAGTCCTCGCTACGGATAACAAGATGCGTAACGACGCCGTTCTTAGTGCCTTTTTCGGGCTTGTTTTGCTTATATTCTTGAAGCAGCAGTACGACAACAACCTTGTTCTGCTAATGCTTCGTCTGTTGAGGAGGAGAAGGGAGGTAGAAGGTCGCAGAAGGGAGATAGAAGACCGTGCTGTGGAGAATGGAAACCGGTGAGTGCAACGAGTCCGACTGCTCTATCTCAGCCCGTTGCTATGCGCGCTGTATACGTCATGGCGCCAGAAGGGCAAGGAAACGAGCATGTGCAGAAAGACCGGAATGAACTTAAAGAGGAATGAGTGTATACAAGTGTGAGAAATTCTTTCATTCGGAGTTAGAAACGGAATATTCCAGCCCCTTACATCGGATTGAATTTTCAATCGGAATGACCATTTACGTGACCACTTTTAATCGGAATGGCCTTTCATTCCGAATGAAAGTGGAATTAAACTGTCCATGTAAACGCCCTCACTGATTATTAAGTATTTGTCAGCTGGTCTGACGTTAAACTTCTCAGTTAATTATTAGTATAAGTTCTGCGAGGAGCCTGAGGAGTCTGTTTTGTTTCCAGTGATCTTCACTTTTCAGAGGCTGGAACTAGCTCAGTTCATGAGGAGTTAGTTGACTCGGAGATGAAGGAAACTCAGAGTTGGTTTGTTGTCTCTCTTCAGCTGAATCCAGTCGGATGGAAGGACGTGTCAGACTCAACATGTCATTCACTCGATGAACAGCTGATATTGATCGCAGACACTCTGCAGAAATTATTAATCTGAATGATATCCTCAGTCCTCATGTCGTTGATACATCACACACTGGTGACGCTGTGTGTGTGTTTCACTTTGTGTTTTTGGTGACAAGAGTTTTCTATACAACCCCTGAGCATGCTGAGCATGTTTCCATGGCAACCATCTGTCAGGCTGTTGGAGATGTGATTCCTGTACTGAAACGTTTCCTGAACACACAAGACGAATCACACAAGATTCACAGCTGTTAGTCTGAGCAGTGTGAAGCTCTGAGACACGACTCAGTTAATCAGATTATTTTGGATTTCCAGGTGTGACTGATGATCTGACTGATGATCTGAC